GCCCCCCAACATAAATGTATTATTATTATTAAGAAGAACAACTTGGTGTGGTGTGGAGGGGATGTAGGAAGCAGGAGCAGGTGGGGAGAGATGGGGCTTCAAGGTTCAAGGTTATTTGTTTTAAATGTGTCTTGGAGATAAGGACCAGCTGCACACAATAAAATACAGTATAACACAAAACCAATAAGACACACAGTGACACATGGCACACCAACAATCAATCATCGTCCAGCCTCAGCTTTGGTATTCTTTCACAACCATGTTATGGGTTTATTAGACTGAGCAAACATAAACATATGTGGTGATCCCACGGGTTCTTGTTTGCAGACAGCGGCGATTGGAGCATCCGTAGGCTGCACAAAAGTCCGGCATAGTCAGGTACTTCTGTAAACACAAAGCCAGCAAATTCTTGTATCATAATGCAAGATGTTTTTAACAAGCCAAACCACTTGGAAGAAATCATGTGTAACTTAAATTATGTTGAAAAGAAAGAGCAGTTCTGCCTCTCCCACTCTTTATATGTCTATGGATAAAATGGCCCAACTTTTGAGAGAGTGAAACGTCACAAGAGGCTTCTCAATACTCAAATTTCCCCTCCTCGACTCCCCTCCTCGGTTCCCCTCCTCGAGACTTAGACCCGCCCACAGGAGATGCGAGCGGAGGACCGAGGAGGGGAACCGAGGAGAGAGGAGGGGAAGCAGCAGACGTTTAAAGAAATGAGAACTCCTCTCCTCTGAGCGGTCATTTTAAAGAGACGTCCGTTCATTATTACGTGGCAACAGCTGCATCAGCTGTCGAGTGTTTTGTCATAGCGCTGTATCTCTGTTAGATCAGCTGAACATTGTTCCCCCACATATTTACTTTGAATTCATTGAGAGTGCGGTATAATGAGACAATAACAGGCTACAGATGCGGACACACACACACAAATATATTTATAGAAATATATACAATTTAAAGTATGAGAGCACTCTCATAATAACGTAACACAATCAGAGACTGGATATATCCCCCCCTCTCTCTGGTCGCTGAAAGGGGGAATTGAAATGACGGGCCAAAAGTTGTATTTACAAGTAGGCCTATTAAAAGTAAGCAGAGGACACCAAACCAACTGAGACCCGTCTGTCCGCCGCATTTACGCACTGTACAACACACACCTACACACTGTACCACACACACCTACAGCTCCAAAAGCATAAGCCGTTGTGTATTTTATTATGTGAAGCAATGGTCTTAGAAAAATATCGACTCTTTGTTTGTAGATATCTACTAAACTAAAGCAAATAAAGAGAGTAGGCCTGTTATACTGAGTGATATATATTATACACACTCAGGGTCGGCGTCATGGGGGGTCATTCGCGGGCCATGCCCCCCCAAATGAGTCACTGTGCCCCCCCAACACGTGGGCAAGCCTTGCCACTTTGCCGTTTTTTTTTTTTAATCATATAAGTGAAAATGTTTCCACTAACGTTGTCCACACTACAGCTTCAAAAAAAGCTTGGAGCTGGGCGTGTCTGAAGCTTGGGGATTTTATTCGAGCAACGCGACCAACAACCAATCACATGAATCTCCCGCCCCCGACATACAAAGCAAAAAAAACCCGGGGATTTTATGCGAGCAATATATATATATATAAACTCAGTTTTAAACCAGTTTCACCCACTGTCTCTGCCACCTCCCTCCATGACTGGTTCTTCCGGTTTGTATCCCTGTAGGTGAAGAGGGTCTGGTCATACAAAACCGGGTGATTTGCTACGGCGATAATTAGTTTCTCCTCCATCTTTTTTTGAAATATAGAAATGAACGTCGGGATATCTCTCTCAGCTTAGACGCGGTTTGATTGGCTAGGGCTTGAGCTGTCAGATTTTCAGAAACGGGATTTGATTGGCTGGCGCTGGCTACTCCGGCGTCAGAAGTTGAACATTTGTTCAACTTCTGATGCCGGAGACGGACCGCTATGCTACTCACAATTTAGTTCGGTGAAAAGCGAGGCAACGTGACGTTACCCCATTCAAAGTGAATGGGCAGACGCGTTGGAAACCGTTTTTGAAGCTGTCGAAGCTGTAGTGTGGACGGCCCGTAAAGGTTTTGTGTGTGAAATACATCAGAAATAAAGAATACAAATATAAAACACAGCCTGAGGTGTGCTCACTGCTGCTCTCTGATTGGTGTGTTGCTTGACCAATGACCCTCGACCTTTGTTTTGTTATCATTACGTGGCTGTGTGTTTAGATGAAAGCCCAGTGGCGATCTGTTAAACTGATTATACAGTAAAGCCATCGAAAATAATATGATATACAGTACAGTACAAGTAGCCTACTTCTGGGTCTCTGTGTTTCATTCAAGCTCGGCTCTGTGTGTGTCTATGGCTCGAGCGCATTTTGTGAGTGCGCGAGCGGTAACGTGGAATGTTGTAACTAGCATCTGGTTAGCTGGCTGTGCTAACGGATATAAAGAGCTGTTTCTACACCAAGGTGGAGGAGAGTCCTCTCCTGTCAGACTGAGAGGATCTTATAACGTCAGCTCAGTGAGGTAAGGACTCTCTCAGTGTTTAGATAGTTCACTTTAGTGTAAGTTATCTCAGTGGGTCTCAAACGGTTTGGTCACCATTTATGTAAACAAGTATTTGCGAGGAACACCTTTATATGATCATTATAGTTATTAAAAAATAAGAGAATAAATGAAAAACGGGTATGAAATACTATAGGACAGTAACACAAGAATACAGTTTAAAAGGGGAGTGATTAGTAAAATATCCATAAAGAAAAAGTAAATCTGTGTACAGTTCTGTGTCATATGGATGCTGAGAGATAGGCTATCCATAGATCTCTTCATTTTGCTCGCAAAGTGCACCAGATTGATGCATTTAACTTCAATAGACCCTCCTAGAGGAGGTTAGGTCCACCCCCACCTAAAACATGTTCACATGAATAGGATACTAAATACATTTGCACACTTTTATATGGTGGCCTATGTCCATATGTTTCTGTTTTGGTGGTCGTGCCACAACCGTGCATGTATGCACAAGTCATAGGTGCGCTATAAAATAGCGCAACACCCTGCAATGCGTGTGAAAAACAATAGACTTTACAGCTGAAGTTGCGTTGGTGTTTGTGTGTTGGTTGTTGACGGCAGTGTGTGCCCCCCCTTGGTAAATAATTTCCCCCCCATTCGATTTGTTCTAGAGCCGACCCTGTACACACTGCTCTGCTTTCTGCATGGAAACATCGCGACGCGATGAAAGCAGTTTCTAAACTAATATCCAGGGGATGCATGCATAGGCTGTCATTGGCTGAGATAAGTCCGGCCGTGCATCACGCCTCCACCGTTCCCGGAAATGCATCAGTGGAGGAACCATCAGTGTATCCTCGGTTATAGCTCCTCCAGAGAGCCTCCTCGACGCTCGATGCTCGGTCCTCGGTGTGCATTTAGAGAAATGAGACGTCCTTCAAAATGGCGCGCTGAAATTCATTTCCGGAGGACCGAGGACCGAGGAGTCGAGGAGGGGAAATTTGAGTATTGAGAAGCCTCTACAGATTACCCGGCATGCCTGAGAAGTACCCGTATGTGCGCTCATAGCGCATGCGCAACTTTAATCAAAAATGCTCGTTCACATCAAACACATCAATTTGCGTACACGTAACAGCACCGCGGGTTCATGACAACATGGTAATGGCTTGTTATTATGATGAATTTGATATTAACCAGGCAGCAGTTAGCAGCTAGCTAGTAATTATGCTAATGTACACATCAATCGTTATGTACTTATATTACGCTGTAACAGGATCTAGTGATATCCAAGCAACAGAGCTTCATTTAGCATGAAATAATTATTGCACTGTATATATATATATATATAGTGCAATAAGCTTCAGGGACGTTAATCTAACGTCGGTAATATTAACTTTATTTAATAGAACATTTACGGTACAAGATTTAATCATACAGCCCATGTAGTATAATATTTTACAAATGATGAATTACAGCAAACATGTGCAATATATCCATTCTTACAGCTCCGTGGGCTGGCAGTAAGGCGATATGGTCCGTTCTTATTGTGCATCCATGGGTAAAGATAAACGCACGTAGTGCTGAACACGTAACATGAACGTGCCGGGCGGCGCAGTCCCGTGGGTTAGATGCGCGTTCATAATGCAGAGGGAAATAACTCTCAGAATAACGTTATTAGCACATTATTACAACTTGAGGAACGAATGTTTTTAATAAGGGCTATCCAAGTGTTCATACTGGGTAGTTTATTTAGTTAAAAACAAAATTATCCAACGATTTACAGACCACTCTTTCCCCATGTAAGTCAATGGGAAAAAGTGTTTCCGGGTCTGGCAACCAAACGGAAGTGTAGTACCGCCGTTAGGCCACCACGAATATTTTCATTTGAGTCCGGCGCACTTCCTGGGGGCTTGATGCTGCCCCATGCGCCTCGTTGGAGATTTTTCTTCCACACACACACACACACCTCCGCCTGGCTGTGAGTGTGTGTGCTCAGGCTGAGTTCTGCAGTGTCTCGCAGACCCCGCAGCAACCACGAAACGACACCAGTAATCCAGCTCACACTGTCCACTCCTCGAGCCTCAAAGGGCGCAGCAGCGAGCCCTGCAACGTCCTGCCAACACTGCACCCAGAGTAGACCCCACGCAGCATTCTCATCTGTTTGTCATTACTGGTGTCATGTTCTGGTTGCTAACAAACGCCATTGTAACACATAATCACTGATGTTCCGCTGTAACGGTGGTGGACTCATCAGAACAGAGATGAGGGGGGGGGGGGGGGTTGCAGGAGCTCCAACAAACCGTTTAGGACAGAGAGTGAATACACATACTATACAGAGATGCTGTATGAGAAACCAATGTGTGTTTGGAACATTGAACAATGTAAATATATTCTAGTAGACCTCAACAATGGAATTATGATCAGTAGAAATGGCCATGACATGGGACCTTTCACAAACACAAATCGTCTACAAAAAGCAGCACGCAGACTTTTGTTTTTCTGAGGCTTTATTGTCTATTTTCATGTGACGACTTAAAGCAATACTTTCCATCATATTTCTCTTCTAGCACAACACCAACAAAGAAGAAAACGAAGACTTTAACAAGGCCATTGCATGACCCAGAGAAATGCTGATCAGTCAAAAACTGAGCTAGGAACAGACTGACGTGATAACAGTCGTATTAACAAATCACTGGCAACCTTCTCTCCGCTCAGAGCTGTGATCTGACAGCAATCATCATATCATATATGTACATTCAGACCAAAGAAACCCAAAAGGAAAAAGTGTAAAGGAAGTCACTTTCCTCAAACTGCTTTGTTTTTACCAAGAGTCATTTTGACCTTAACAGTTCTCTTTACTGTTGACAAAATGAAACCTCTCCCTCCGACCCCATTATGTTGCTAGATATCGCATCTTAATCATTTCCACAGTATTTTTTTCATATAAAACATATTTTGGTATTTTTCTACATGAAAATATTAGGAAATAATTACAACCAAAAACAGAAAATTCCCTAAATCTCCCCGCAGGTGTCCAGAGAAAAGTAGTCCTCGAGGAAGTAAAGGAGGAAGTCCACGAGATGAGAATCAAAATGGATAATGGGGATACAAGTTGGACCGAGGAGGGTTGGAGGGGGTCATAGTATTTTTTCCGGGGATGGACGCAGTGATCTGGGCTCAGAACCGGAGGTGAGCTTTGTGTTTGACCAGGTATCTGGGGAAAAAGTAGAAAATAAAAAAGGTCAGTTTGTGCAATGTCATTGTTTTCATGACTTTAAATACATCATGATGAGGCCCAAATAATTATAGCATTGCACACCTGTCGACGGTTTCCCAGAAGTGCAGGAACACGGGTCGGTCCAGATGGCGCCGGTGGCGGCTCAGCTCCAGGACGGACACATCCCACTTCTGCACGTTGGGGTCGATCTTCGCCTCGTCGTACTTCAGATGAAAGGCTCGAACTGGAGGGGAAACGTAAAGCATTCGTTTATATAGAGGATTCCGGGTCAAGGGCAGGATAAAACGAGCCACCCTCAGTATATAAACTATATAATCTTCACATTCATATTTGCATTTTGTATCGTGTGCCAAATACTTTCAGAAATTGAGAACCAGAGTGACTTAAGCTCTAAAGATCTGTGTCTGCTGCAGGCGGCCGCTAATATCCTGCTAGCTTGGGTGGACTGCATATATTTCCTGGCAAAAAAGCACTTTCACAGTTTTATGCATTGATGATTTGCTTAGAGAAAGGACCAGTGTGTAGTATAAAAAGGGAACTATTAGCAGAAATTGAATATTTTATTGTGTTATCACATGACAGTATGAATCGTTGCATTCTCAATAGCTTCAAACTGGCCCTTGTATCTGCATAGCCACCACAGTAACCCAGAGTGGACAAACAAAACGCTCACCTAGGGGCCGTGTCTTTATGTTAGCTGAAGGCCACTGTTTCCACCAATACCCAACTTTAGATCTATTTTTCCTAATTAATATAAGAGTTGTTTGATCTACAAACATTTCACCGTTCTTTTGCGGTACAGGTTTGCTCATCATGCTCCAAGGAAATTTGAGAAAACGTTGCAACTTTTACATAATTTTGGCCCATTAATATTACTTCAGATAACCAAAAAAGCTTACAGACTGAACTTACTAATGTAACTTATTTTAAAATGTTTATATAACACAGCCTTTTGCCTGAACATTTGGACGATTGATATCATTGTGCTAACCAGAAGCGCAACAACAGAACATTAATCAATAATTAGATATTCACAAAATATTATTATAAATAATAGAGAAATATATGCTTTACAGAAATGCGCTGGCTGATGAAAAAGAATCATACTTATATTGATAATAAATATAGCCTACAGTTTAGAAACTGGTTTCCTAACTACAATGTGCACCACAATGCATGCATCATAGAAAGCCGCTCATCTGTAATAATGAACATCACACTGTCTGGATTTTTTAATGTACTGGTGCTTCGTAAAATCATTATACTGCTCAAGCCTACCGCCAGTAAAATGTGGCAACAATGTCTCAAGGACCTTACTCACTTTTGGCAAAAATGTCAACAGGAGATCCATCAGGCAGCAGCCACGGCCAGCCTTTGAACTGCCAGGCAGGACCCTGCACAAACACGGCCACCACTCGATCCCTGACAGACACACACACACACACACACACACACACACACACACACACACACACACACACACACACACACACACACACACACACACACACACACACACACACACACACACACACACACACACACACACACACACACACACACACACACACACACACACACACACACACACACACACACACACACACACACACACACACACACACACACACACACACACACACACACACACACACACACACACACACACACACACACACACCACACACACACACACACACACACACACACACACACACACACACAACCACACACACACACACACACAACACACACACACACACAACACACACACACACACACACCACACCACACACACACACACACACACACACACCACACACACACACACACACACCACACACCACAATTTTTATTGTATTAGGTTCCAGGTTGAATTGAGGCGAATATTTGTAATGTTCAGAAGTTGTTGTGTTTAATATTCATGAGATTATTTGTCATTGTTCAAATGATAATAAACATTAGCATAAAGCATATTTGTCCACTCATGTGTTGATAAGAGTATTAAAAACTTGAAAAATATTCCTCTAAGGTACATTTAAAAACAGATCAAAAATGTGCGATTAATTTGCGATTAACTATGGACAATCATGCGATTAATCGCGATTAAATATTTTAATCAACTGACAGCCCTAATATATATATATATATTTGTTGAGAGCATGACACTTGATTCATGGTGGCTCAACTGTCCCCGGTAAATGAAAATAAGAGAAGAATAATAATTAAAAAAGCACAAGGGAAGGAAACAGATGAAAAGAGAGATGACATGAATCAGCGAAAGACGGACAGGAAGTAACAGGACTTAAACAGTACAGTGGCAGAACACCTAAAACAGTGTTGCCGCCATTTAAAGTGACTTTGCTGTAACTGCAGTTCAGCAATTGCCTCGCAGAAGGGGGACTATTTTCAATCAATAAATTAATGCTAAAATCAGTTTGTTGTGTCCAATTGTTGATTTATTTAGTTTCCGTGTAATAAGCAAGGTCGTACACTGCATAATATCTCTTACTTGAACAGTGCCATTAGATTAAATGAATGTTTTACTGTTTGGTTTGTGTACTAGAAACAGGAGTGAAACCGCCCAGTGAACCCCCCACACCAACTGCCTCCATGATGACAGGATGTGAGGCGTTCCTTTCTTATAAAGAACTTGTGAACCAAATAAAAAGTAGGACCCTGAGCTCTCTAAAAAGGTAAAACATGAGAATACAAAGTAGTGAGCATTTTGTACCAGATAGATAATACTAATTCTGAAATGATTTGTGAAAGACTCAATCTCACCCTGATAAATGACAGGTGGCTGTTTCATGCGTAGACTAAAAATAGGCGTTCATTTTTATAAATATTTTTAGCTTTTTGTTGCACAATTTTCCAATGAACTTGATGATTATATAACTATTTTAGATAAAAATATAAATAACATGCTGTTCAACTTTAACCTGCAATTCATATTACAAATATAGAAAAACATTTTACATCACTATTAATTATAATCCTTACCAGTCCTGTGGAGCCAGTTTGAGCGGCTGGTCGATGATTCGGTACGGCACGGTGACGCTCACAGTCGCCCCCCCCGGCTGGATCTGGTCTTTGCGTCTCTGCAGCAGAACCTCATTATCACGCTGGATGCCCTGCTTCTTCTTCTCTTCCGGCGTGACAAACCTGAATTGGCACAAACAAAATGAATAGTGTTACTTTATCTCATTTATAATACTTTATAGACGCTAAACACACTTGCTAAACACCAATACTATATTCCTAAAAATGCTTTGGTATCAACGTAGACTTTCTTTTCCCACAACTTGAGATGTGACTGTTGGTTATTAAGTAATATATAATTAATGCTAAAGAAAAACAAACAAAGGTATGAAACCAAATGTTCAGGAGCTTTTTTCCACTTTGATTGTGTAATATAATGCTCGAGTCTTCCTCTTTTCTGAGTGAATGAGAATAATGGATGGGATTGGGATACTGCATTAGCCAGTTAGATAAAACGGACATGTAGTTGCACTGTGGAAATTGCCAGTTTCTTCATTTTCTGTTTGGTTTTATGACGCTATGTTCAGTGCTGTGGTAAAAATGTGCCCAAAGGCCAAGTTCTGCCAAGTAACATTTCCCCGGGCCTGATCTTGTGATCCTCAGCAAGGTAAAGTGATCTTGGCAGACAGGAAGAGAAGGAAGTTGTAAATAAAGATCAGGTAGAAAATCAGGAAGAACTCTGTTAAAATGACTAATAGATATTAAGTGGTTAGAAACAAGTTATCACTATTATCCACATGTTATCCTATTAGTCATTCACGAGAGATTGTCATGACTAACGTATGACTTATGGGAAAAAAAGTGTTTAAGGTCGAAGAAACTTTTGTCCATGAAAATATAGTGGATATCTGTGCCCAATTAGAAGACATTTCCTCTAGGTGTTTCTGATGAAATGGGATTGACGAAAAATCCCTTAAACATAATGCCTCCAGTCGAGGCTATTGACGGCACTGAGCCATAACAAATAGGATGGGCGTGCCACAGGGATAAATTCTGGGCCCAAATATTTTCACCATTTTATTTATTTATTTTTTAAATATGCATTTTACTCGACAGTGCAGCAACCTCATAACTTATAAAAACAGCTTTTGGTACCCATTTTCGTAAAAAAAAAAACACATCTAGGGCTGCTTTTGACTAAAGATTTGTCTAGTCGAACAATAGTCGTCAATTCAGGCGATTAGTCCACTAATCGTTGGATGTTTATGATAAATTATGATTATTAATATTATTTATGCATATATATTCCCAAATTATTTTCAGTTTCAAAGGCTCATAAAGAACGTTATAACAGCATGGCACGTTGTGCTTCATATAAAATATACTTTTTTTCCCCCTTTGACTAAAAGACAAATGAATAATTTGTCGACAAATACTTTTTTAGCCGACTAATGTTTAGTTGACTGATTGGGGGCAGCAAGAAGGTCAACAGGTAGATACACTTACTTCAGATCCTGCAGGAGCTCCTTAGCATTGAGCATTGTGATGAGTGAGGTGGTGGCGGCAGGGATGATGACAATGGGGGTCCGGGACCCTGTTGAGAAAATGATGATAAAAAGGTCTTTAAAAATATTGGTAGTGTCAAATAGACAGTCAAATAAAATGCAGTTTTATGCAAATAAAGAAAACAAATTCTGTTATGTTACATCATATTCAGTATATTGCTTTTTATATAAATACCAAAAACATAGTCCAATTAAGTGAAATACGTACCTTTCTTTTGATTCGGTGGAGGTCTGGCTTGTGAAACTAGAAGGGAAAAAAAACAATTTTAGGTAAACAACTTTTTTTCAACAAACTAAAATAACAAGTACAACAATTCCACTAAGAATATTCATTTTTTAGAAATATAACCAAAGTATTCTGTGAAATAATTGACTGGCAATAGCTCAAATAAAAAACTAAAATAAATAAAAGATCCTGTGTCAGCAAATACACTATTAAATCTGCAAGAGGTGACTCCTTCCTTTAGCCCTTCTTTATGCATGTCACTTCAGTCCAGTCATCATGGAACAAGATGCAGACTGATGTTGCTTTGTTGTGTTCTCACATATCCTCAACTCCAATCTTTGGGCACATATTTGCTGAGGAGTCAAACACACATTTGATTCTTCTCCTCAAACAAAAGTCCCTTTCATGGAGGCAGTTTCACCCAGAAGTTTTTTTCCACAGTATGGTTATGTCGAGCAGAAGTAGATATCCCAGCAATTTGGACCAAGCAGTTTTTATGCTCAAGGCCGAGATAAGTTCCGTATCATTTTATGTGGTAAGCAGGGGAAGGTCAAATGCTAAAATATCTAAGAGTAGGGATGTTAATTTTGATGCCAACATTTCGAAATTGTGATGGAACTTGTTTCTCTACAGTACAGCATGTACCAGGAGGCTCAAGAATGATGGGACCCTCTCATCCCAGGGACAACAGAAATATGTGTGTCGGACAAACATAGATCTTCTCCAGGCCTCTAGAGCAGTGGTTCCCAAACGGTGTGCCGCGGCACACTGGTGTGCCGTGAGGCAAGTCCGGGTGTGCCGTGGGATTTTGTGCAACCATACGTTATTATTGCAATATACAACTACACAAAAATAATTACTTTTGAATTTACTATATCAGTACTTTGTAGGTTTATATGTACGTAATCTGCACGACTTGTGCGTCCACATCTCCACGTGCAGTGCTGCATAAACATGGCTGAGTCAGCGATAACTTTCGAGGGGTGGAGGTCTGCCCATTATTTTGAGTTCGTCCGAAGAATAGACAGGAATGTGACGGTGAGGTGCAAACTGTGTCCAGGCCAGAAGCTGTTATCCACTGCTGTAAACACCACGTCAAACCTCAACAAACACCTGCAAAGAACACATGCTAAGGTGAAGCTACCGCACAGCTATTTGTTGTTTGTTGATATCACGTCGTCTGTTCTTCTTCTCTGTCTTCCGGTTGTTGCCTGTTTTGAATGACAAATACACACTACCGCCGCCTGCTGGTAAGGAAAGTTATTGCCACTCAGGCATGTGCAAGTTCGTACGTGCTCGGCGAGTAAAGTAACAAGTTACTTTATGTAGATAGTAACGAAGTAGTGTAATATATTACTTTTTTTAAAGTAATACATTTATAATTTGTAGTTCAGGACCATGGACAATGCAGCTTCCTTGCATTGACAGTTCTCTGTGCTGAATTTCTGCTGAGTTTCCTTTGCCTCATTTTTAATGTTGTGACCTGTCTGGTTTAAATGAGTGTGTTGCTGCTTTGATGAAGCCTAATTTGATAAAGTTTCAAATTAATTTCTGAAATATTTCGTTAATAAATATTTCATGAGTAATATAGTTGTCTTTGTCACATTTTATTTGGCATTAGTAAATAATTATGCACATTTACAGATATTTGACATGATATGAGTGATAACACGTGTTATAAGGGCTATTTTGCACAATAGGTGTGCCTTGAGATTTGTACTTGTCCTTTGGTGTGCCTTGGGCACAAAAAGTTTGGGAACCACTGCTCTAGAGGATGAGGCATATTCTTTTGCCCTTTGTATGCTACGTAGTGAACAACGATTAGTTTTGAAATTGACAAGAGGATAGCTAGTTATGTTAGCTGTTAGCAGCAAGTGGGCAGCACACATTCAGAAATAATAATGTTATTGGGCAAAGGTAAATTATAAAGTTATGATGATGTGTTCAAATGTAAAACATCTATAAAATATTTTGTTGAAAGGGAAAGTATTCATAGACATTTATTTTTACCGATGCATCAAATTGGTTAATGACAATCCTAGAATTTCACTGGTACTGGTATTGAATAATTTATTTCTGACATTGTGACCTTAAAATGAAACCTGGTCACAGACAAACATTTTTTTTTTTTTTTACAATTTCAGGTACATGTGAGAAAATCTCTGGAGCTACAACAACTCAAACGCAACAGCTGGTAGTGTTGAGTGTGATTGATTGGTTGGTCGGATAATATGGTGTATTCGCCTCGCAGAGTCCCTGAGGAAACTTTGGTTTAAACTGACTGACACATGAGGACAGCTTCCTGACATTTACTGACAGGCAAGACAGACAGGAAATGTTGGAAATCACAATCAGCCACATGTCATTCAGGTCAAGGCTACAGAGGATAAGGACAGAAAGGGAGACTAAACAGCTGGATATTTGACCTTTTAGAAAAAAAGGAACTTACTGCATAATGGAAAGAAAGTGGTTTTATTTTTCACAGAGTCTTTTCTTAATCTAGTAGAGTTTTTTCCTGCTCCTCCGGATCGAAAATGACAGCAAGAATAGATAAGATGCTGGAAGTGGACATTTCATTCAATTGTACTTATTATTATCTATCTAAATATATGTAGATTTGATTTGTTACAGTTTATTTTATTTCAACTTAAAGGTGGGGTAGGTAAGTTTCAGAAACCGGCTCGAGATACACTTTGTTATATTCCATGGAATGCTCTTAACATCCCGATAGCAATGAATATCTGAAGTGCTTTGACAAAAAAATCCATAAAAAAAATGTCATCTGTGGAACCCGTATACTGTAAAAAGTACAACCAATCCGTTTAGCCGGCCCGGCTAAACGGATTGGATTGCCGCCCCGTCTGTCAGCCTTCCATCTCGTGCACGCACAAATGTATCTCGTGCCCTCATTGGGCGTGCATTGCAGCAGTACTTCACTGACTCGCCAGCAACAGGCGGCCACTTTCACCAGTCTGCTGACGTCATGTGCGCGTTCATGTGTGTTGGAGAAGGTGCTCTGTAAGGAAGTCTGAAGGAAGGGGCGGATTCTTTTCGGCTGTGTACTTTCAAATTTTAGTGCACTCGAGCCGGTTTCTGAAACTTACCTACCCCACCTTTAAATATATGTTATAGATTTTTTTTCTTTATTTATTAATTTAGCAACTATTACTAACCCCAAGGATAAAAAAAAAATATATATTATTCTGAATATAAAAAGTATCCATTTAACAAAGACAGATTTCTGGTCCAAATCTAGTACGTGTCATGGACATCAAATCTTAAAAAAATGGATGTTCCATTAATGTTTTAAGTATTTCTGCAGTATTTCTGCACAAATCTCAGAGAGAAACACCGACCTGGACGCGGGACCGGCTGAAGCGCTGGAGTCTGGGCCTTTCGGGCGGATGCTCCTTCCTGCAAAACACAACACCACCAAAGGGTCACATTATTAAATATAGAATATATTAAATATAGCTTGCCTCAAACCAAGTAAATGTCCATTTGTGTTGCTGCGCACAGAAATAGAGTGGTCTAGGAATCAGTCCTAAACCAGGAAATTAGTTAGCATATTACTGCTTCTTTACTCCTTCGACACAAATAAATGGTTTTCAGTTAAATTCCAGAAATATGGTCTATGGTTGACACATGCTTAATAGATTTTCACATTTTGTTCCACAACAAAAATGTCAGTAAATACCCCACTGGAGAACGTCTGAAGCTTTTATGTGGCATACAAGTGTCGTTGCTAACAAGTGACTCAAATAGATTACGAAACATCAACTTGCCTAACATTAGCCGGCTTTAGCTTAGCATATTGACGTGAAGTCATGTCAGCGTAAAGTAGTATACCTTCATTGATCCCAAGAGTCTCTCCAGCTACCAGTCCACACTCCGTATTTATTTGGTATGATTGGGACTTGAACCAGCGATCTCTCATTTACGAACCAAAGTCCCGACAGACTGAGCTACTGTTTATAACCTTAGTTCAAACGTGAGCAATTTAATCTGGCGATTGCATTTGCAATTCAACTGTTGTAGTGTTTTTGATTTTCCAGTTGAACAAAACATGTAGGTAGGCATTTCATTTTTATTTGTCCCGCTCATGGTACGCAAAACCAAATGTACAATAATTGCCACAAAACATGACTACCATCATAAACATGTGTTAGCCACCGATCTTATTTTCAGCGATATTCCCAAACCCTATGAAAAAAAAACATTGCTTTCTGCCAAGAGAGCCCTGAGTGATGCTGTCTTTTGGGTCGGCTTACAGAAATACGTCATCACTGCTCCACTCTATTCAAAGGCCTAACCCCATGAATGGTAATGATTTCTTAAGACTGCTCAACAACACTCATTTAGACTTCCAGACAGGCACTACAAGTAAGAATGTGTTAAATACCATCATGGACAGTCTCAGCAGAACATTTTGATTCTACTCTGTATAATTGTTCTGTAGTTATTGTAGCTAATACGGCGCTTTTGAGAGATTTTAAATCTCAGATCTGCTCAGGCGAAACCTGCTGCACAGGTCTCAGCACTCAAGCCTTCATTATAATAGAGGCAGGGCCAGTCTATTGATTGCGTGAAGTACAACAGCGTGACTCAGTCACCTTTCACCTAAAAAAGCATTTAAATACCGCATTTAAAATCTGATGAACTCAGTGTGCATCTGGACCGGGTGAAGATTTTACCTATTGACGCAGCAACCACTGTAAGTTATATTCTTGTTTAATTAGACTTCTCTGTTTCATTTATTCTACTCTGTATAATTGTTCTGTAGTTATTGTAGCTTATACAGCGCTTTTGAGAGATTTTAAATCTCAGATCTGCTCAGGCGAAACCTACTGCACAGGTCTCAGCACTCAAGCCTGCATTACAATAGAGGCAGGGCCAGTCTATTGTCGCCCATCAGCTGTAGATAGTTAACTAATTAGAGGGGCGTGGCCCTACAGCTGTGAGAACTCAGCAATCAGGCGTCCATTTTAGGTAGCTCTTTCCTGGAGCGTCAGCTTAAGCGTCAGACAGCCGAAGACTGACAAGACTGAGTCCTACGGGAGTAAGACTGACAAAGACATTGGAGTCCTACGGGAGTCACGAGGGAGGCAAAGAGGAGGCAAATCCTACTCTGATTGAGCTGGTGTCTTATTTCTCTTTTCTTTAGTTTTCTAGCCCCTCATGCTATAATCATGTGTATTTTCTCCATTCCTGTTCATGTGTCTTCTCGCAATTATCACTGGCCCCGTGTATCTCCTAATCGCTATAACCGGCCTGCTCTCATCTATCCCACATGCTCCACTGAGATCCAACATCTAGTTTCAGGTGGCCTGTGGAATTGCCAGTCAGCTGTTCCTAAGGCTGACTTCATCTCTGGCTACGCCTCCCTGCAGTCTCTGGATTTCCTTGCTCTCACTGAGACCTGGATTACTCCATCCAACACATCCACCCCAGCAGCTCTCTCCACTGCATATTCCTTCTCCCATACACCCAGACCAACTGGCAGAGGAGGTGGCACTGGTCTCCTGCTCTCTCCCAAATGGAGCTTTTCCCTCTTCAAGCTACCTAACTTCACTCCTTCCACCTTTGAATTCCATGCCGTCACAGTAACCCATCCTATACAGTTAACCATTGTTGTTCTCTACCGTTCACCAGGCGCCTTGGGGGACTTCTTGGAGGAATTAGATAATCTCCTCTCACACATCCCTGAAACTGGCCCTCCCGCTGTACTTCTCGGACTTCAACCTCCAGACGGGGAAGATAGACGAACTAACATCCCTGTTAACCGCCTTTGCTTTCTCACTGTCTCCATCCCCACCGACTCATAAAGCTGGCAATGTCCTTGATCTCATATTCTCAAGGAACTGCGCTACTTCTAACCTCTCTGTAAACCCGCTCCACACATCCGATCACTTCTTCATTTCATTCTCTCTACCCCTTTCCAAACATAACAAACTAATCGCTTCTCATCCTGCACTTGTCCGCTGTAACCTTCGTTCCCTCTCCCCCTCTACCTTTGCCTCGTCGGTGCTCTCAGCCCTCCCTTCCTCTGACTCGTTCCAACTCCTGCCTTCAAACTCTGCTTCAAACTCTCCTCTCTACTCTCTCATCCACTCTGGACTCTCTCTGTCCTCTCACATCTCGGCAGGCTCGTCAGTCCCCTCCTGCTCCCTGGCTAAATGATGCACTGCGTGCTAATAGAACCGTCCTTAGGGCAGCAGAGCGGAAACGGTGGAAATCCAAACACCGTGACGACCTCCTAACCTATCAGGCTCTTCTCTCCTCTTTCTCTGCTTCGATCTCTCAGGCAAAAAGCACTTTCTTTCAAGATAAGATCCAATCTTCCTATTCCAATCCTAAAAAACTATTCTCCATCTTCTCCACCCTCTTGGACCCTCCCCCCTCCTCACTTCTGTCAAGCGACTTTGTTACCCACTTTGAAAAAAGGTTGATGATATTCGCTCTTCTTTTTCTGACTCACCTTTACTCACCGCTGGGTCACCAGACCCTCCTTCCACCAACACACTAACCTCCTTTTCCCCTCTCTCTCCAAGTGAGGTTCTTACCCTCATTACCTCTGCCCGCCCTACCACCTGTCCTCTGGACCCTATCCCTTCAAACCTCCTTCAGACTATCGCTCCTGATATTCTACCGTTTCTCACCCATTTCATCAACACTTCTCTAACTTCTGGTCACTTTCCAAACAGTCTCAACGAGGCAAGAGTAAACCCTCTCCTAATGAAACCTACTCTCAACCCGTCTGATGTTATAAACTACAGGCCTGTCTCTCTCCTCCCGTTCCTGTCTAAATCACTTGAACGCGCTGTCTTTAAACAACTCTCCTGTTATCTCCATCAGAATAACCTTCTGGATCCTCACCAGTCTGGTTTCAAGGCAGGTCACTCCACAGAAACTGCTCTCATTGCTGTCACGGAGGAACTGCACACTGCCAAAACTGCATCCCTCTCCTCTGTCATCATCCTGTTGGACCTGTCTGCTGCATTCGACACGGTGAATCATCAGATCCTCCTTCGCACTATCCAAAAACTTGGAGTTTCAGGCTCTGCACTTTCCATCCTCACCTCATATCTGAAAGACCGTACCTACAGGGTGACTAGGAGAGGGTCTGAGTCCCACCCTTGTCAATTAACTACAGGGGTCCCTCAGGGCTCTGTTCTTGGTCCCCTCCTCTGTCCCCTGTACACAAACTCACTCGGATCAGTCATTAGCCCGCATGGTTTTTCATACCACTGCTACGCTGACGACACCCAATTAATTCTGTCCTTTCCCCGCTCAGAGACCCAGGTCGTCGCACGCATCTCTGCTTGTCTAGCTGACATCTCTCAGTGGATGTCTGCTCATCACCTCAAGCTCAACCTTGACAAGACTGAGCTGCTTTTCCTTCCGGGAAAAGATTGTCCCACTCTTGACCTAACAATCAACATCGGCACCTCAGTTGTTTCCCCGACTCAGACTGCAAGGAATCTGGGTGTGACCCTAGATAACAACCTGTCCTTCACTGCAAACATAGCTGCCACAACCCGTTGCTGCAGATACACGCTTTACAACATCAGGAAGATACGTCCCCAGCTGACACAGAAAGCGACGCAGGTTCTGGTCCAGGCTCTCGTCATCTCACGCCTAGACTACTGCAACTCCCTCCTGGCTGGTCTACCTGCATGTGCCATCCGACCTCTGCAGCTCATCCAGAATGCAGCGACTCGTCTGGTCTTCAACCTTCCTAAATTTTCCCACACCACTCCGCTCCTCCGCTCCCTTCACTGGCTTCCGGCAACTGCTAGAATCCACTTCAAGACACTGGTACTTGCTTACCATGCTGCGAATGGATCTGGCCCTTCGTACATCCAGGACATGGTTAAACCGTACACCCCAGCGCGTGCACTACGCTCTGCATCAGCCAAACGACTCGCTGCGCCCTCGCTGCGAGGGGGACCCAAGTTCCCATCGGCAAAAACACGTGGGTTTGCTATCCTGGCTCCAATATGGTATTATGAGCTCCCCATTGACATCAGGACAGCAGATAGCTTGCACATCTTCCGGCGCAGACTGAAAACTCATCTCTTTCGACTCCACTTCGAGCGATAGAACTATTAACAAAGCACTTATATACTAATAAAGGACTGGCTTATCTATAGCCAGTTGAGTAGCACTTGAAATCTTTTGGCTCTATGAAACCTGATGTACTTATATGATTCTGTTTTCTTCAAGGTTGTGTCTTCCTGGTCGAATGTACTTATTGTAAGTCGCTTTGGATAAAAGCGTCAGCTAAATGCAATGTAATGATTAAGAAAAAAAGTTGTGTGAGGGGAAAATAAAGAAGCTCCATTAAGAAACGTTGAGCTTTTTTCCATGTTAATAGAATTATCCTCGGAAAACATAGTTCTTTGCGCATTGCT